AAATCACTGATTGAAATAAAATATAAAAATCATTGATTGAAATTTTTTAAATTGAAAAAAATCCCTCCTAAAATGAATGCATTACTATCGTACATCACTACGATCATTTTTTTTTAGGGATAATTGCTAAAGCAGAAAGGGAATAGAGCCAACTTAACAGCAATAGTTCGATGATTTATTGCTCTACTTGGAAACTTAATTATGCAATAATAACAAATTTGATATTGAATATTGAGAGTTATTACATCTATTTCACTTTTTTTTTTTTTTTTTCATCAAATTCTTTTAGAAATTATTAAACTAGAATTTCAAAAAATTGTATTTCATTTTTTTCATTGTTAGTTGACATATAGAAAATCGTTACTGTTAATACAACAAAAGATAAAAAACATTTACATGAAAATATTTAAGAATCATTTTAACCAAAATAGAAGCAATCAAATCTCATTAACAGGATTAAACATGTATAGAAATTATACAATAAACAATATTTTTGATAGAATGATTTAATTTTTAGGAATGAAATTTTTATAAAAAGATAAACCTGAATTTAATCTAACCAAATGTATTATTTATTTAGCAAATTTATGTACTACAAGCAAATCTATTGAATTTTTCGAGTGTTATTTTGAAATGAAAAGATTTACTTCAGCGTATTAATAAAATATTCAAAAAATAGAAGTTATTTTCATCTTCATTTTATCATTTAGCCAAGGAATTCTTACTACTGTTATCAATAGTAAACAGAAAAAAATAGCTATGATTAAGTATCATGCTAAAACAAAGATCAGGGAAAATCCATAGCAATTAAAACATTTGACTCAGTCTATCATCATCATAAGAGATCATTAGTTGAATGATTTGATGGATTAAATTTTAGCTTAGCAACATATACCTAAAATGCTTCATCACATTTCAAGACTATTTAACAATTGGTTCAACAATAGAGAGATAAATTTCAGATAGAAATTTTGCAAGTAAAATATCAATTTATGATATTCACTAATTCTAATTTTATATTTACTATTTATAAGACACGCATTAAGGAAACTATATAGTAGTATCCGTTCGAAAAGAAAAAAAAAAAAGATCCATTACTAAGACTACTAGTCAAAATTTACAGGCAATTTTTGCCCTTATATAACTAAATTAAAAGGCAAAACCTGATAGCTTTATTTTTCATCACTGAATTCTCAAAATAATATTTCAACTAAAGATCTATACGATACTATCTATTTTCATGAAAGTTTCAGATTTTTTTTTTTTTTTTTTTTAATCCATTTCTCTTCTTTCTTTCTCGTTTTTATCTGTTAAGAAGAAAAAATTAAGAAATTGAATAACATACTTAATGAAATATCCATTGAAATTTGCCCATCTAAGGAGAATAAAAGTTCACATAAATATATGCATACAATTATAATTTTTTCTTTTATCATTAATGAAAAAATGAAACAGTAATTACATTCTTTACCTTTTAGTACAGTTATACTTTAAACTAATTACAGTTATACTTTAAACTAATTACAGTTATAATTTAAACTACCTATAACATTTGGTAATTCAAAGTATAACCGTATTATTCCATTTTCTCTTCCTATGCATTCCCCAAAAAAAAAAGCAATCAAAAATTTTTTTTAGTCCTCATTATTAGAAATTAACACTAAATCAGTATAAGTGAAAAATTTCTAAATGCTAATCCAATGTTTCTATAAAGAATTATACGACCGTTTAAGCAGATAAATATACCAGAGAATACTAAAAGAGAACCAGATAACAATTGATATAATTGGAATGACCTGCAAATATATGTATATTCGAAGGACACTTAAATCGGTTATTACGCCTTGCAGTTGATAAAAAGTAACTAAAGGAAAATCGATGAATAAATAGACAATTTTTATAAATTATTTGCAAAAAAAAAAAAAACATAATAACAGTGTAGAAGTGCATTTAGCCTTTTGATAAGCAATCTTTCTAAAAAGTAGATGGAAGTTTATAGGAATCATCCAAAACACCAGAAGTTTCTCTTATGTCAAACAAACAAAACAAAAAAAAACGCCCTATGACCTCTACCCTTTGCAAAGATTCAAAGAATATTCCAATTTAGGTGCTGCACAATATGCTGGTTAGCATTATCTCGAACTAAGTCACTCTTCACCTCACATCTAATGAGACCTTACTAATTTAAATGACATCCTCATTAGATCATGCTAAATTCCATTTTTTAAAAAAAAAAGTGAAATTTGCTGTTTTTTACAAATAAATAATTTTTTTTTTTTGCATTTTTATAGAATAATAATTTTTATAAACAAATTACACATATAAAATCAGCAATTAACAAATTTAGAATAGAAGATGAGAGCGAATTTGAAATTGATGCGACAAATTATTTCTCTGATCATTCAAAAACCATAACAATAACATTTCTTAAATAATTATTTAAATAATAATTATTATTATCATTAAATAATTATTATTATTATCGTAGAAAATAATTATCAGAATCATAAAATTTCAGTTCTCAATTACAGGTAAATTATACAGATATTTTATCAGAGGATAAACTAAGACAGTAATAGAGAAAATGAAATGGAATACAAAAGAAGGACCATAAACAGAAGTAGTAATGAGAAAATTCCATTTTTTTTTTTTTTTTTGATTAAAACACCGTAACATTTCTTTACATTCATATCAAGCGATTATTTGTCAAAATTTTGATAAAAAATTATTCAGATTATAAAAATCAATCATGTTATTAAAAATTTATAAACTGAATCACAAATAACAAACTACTATTATTGCTATTTCACTTACTTTCTTCACTAATGAACCACCTTCCTATACATCATATAGTGAATGATAAATGTACTTATCAATTAATTCATAATTTAATGATAATATATTCTCAATTTTAGCTTAACATAACCAATATCAATCTTTATAACTTAGACAACATGCAACACTAATCGTTTAAGCATTATACATTGATGCTTTTTCAATGCTAACAAAATTTAACTGTTTCATTGATATATGTATGTATTATAGAAGAAAACATCAATACAATACAATTTGTTTGTATTAGAAGAATTATCCTATTTGTATTAAAATTGATTCAATCATTAAATGAACCAAAATTACATATCATTTTCTATTATAAATAACAAATGATGCATATTTATAAGTTATATTTCAATTACTGCAAAAAACCACTTAATAGTGCTATCTACCTAATAAAGCGCTAAAAAAAAAAAAAAAAAAAATTCCATCCTATAATAGTAGGAAGGATGGAATTAAAAAAGAAAGTTGAGAAAATTAATGTTCAGGAAGTTATAATTTTACAGCCTGCAAACACTGTAAGACCACCAACATCTTTACGGCGATTTAATTTCGCTACTTGACAAGAAAAGAAATTGGAGGACATTTATCAATATGCAAAAAAGAATGAGATGGATGGGAAAAAATGAAGAGAGAGAGAAATTTAATTTAATAATTTTAAATTAGTCATTTCTAAACTTTTTCACATATTTTTTTTTCAATTTTTACTCTCTGATTATTTTAAAATCATCACAATTAACAAATTTAACTTTAATAACTTAACATAAAATTAACTTAAAACTTAAGACTAACATAAAGCTACACCAATTGTTTAAGTTTAATTTTGCAAAGCAAAATTAAAATAAGAGATAAGTTTGAATTCAAATAACCTTGACTCTAAAAGATGTAGCAGTAGCCTTTGAATTTCAAATTGCATTCAGCATTCAAAAGCGGTAAAATCTAACAATACAGAAGCAATAAACAACAACTAAAAATTGTAACATAAAACGATCCAATAATAAAAGTTTACATATATTTTGTGTGTTGTTGACTTACATATTCTATATTTTATAGTTATACTTGTACACAAATATAATGTAATAGTAATTACATCAATAGTAATATGTTTTTTAAAAAAAAAAAAATCATTAAAAAAAAATTTTGCACCTAACAAAAATCCCTCACAATCCATATTTATGAATAATCTATTGGATTTATTTAAAATCATTCTCCTTTTTTTTTTTTTTTTAAACCGATATCTTTTATTTTCTTACATGATATGTGCAGCAATATTTTATGTTGATTTACATTTTTTTTTTTTTTTTTTTTTTTTTTTAATAGAGAAAATGTCCGCAATTGAAATCACTAACACTTTTTTAAAGAATGTTTGCTAGGTATAAAAATGAAAATATTGAAAAGAAAGAAAAATACGAAATAGCTCTATGATGATATCAAATTCATCATTCTCGATGATCATACCAGTTTCAATCAACATTAATAATGGATATTGAACATGTCGAGCATATCTTCAATAATCAACACTTCAAGCATATATTTTCTTTTTCTCCCTCCCAGAAAAAAAAAAAAAAGTGCAACAATCACAATTTCCTTTTTGAAATATTCCGTTTCATATCACCATCTAATCAAAAGTTAATAATGTTAAAGTGAAGTTAAAGAAAACAATTAAAAATTAATAAGTGAGAAAAAAGAAAGTGAGAAAAATAATCGGCTTCCTCTTCCTCTTCATCATCATCTTCTTCTTCTTCTTCTTCCATCTTTTCTTTACTTTCTAATTTTCTTTTCTTTTCCTTTTTTTTTTTTTTCTTGCCATAAAAATCAATAAAAACAGAATTAGTAAAATAAAATAGTACACGAAATGTATGTAATACTCAATAAACAAAACAAGCAAAAAAAAAAAAACATTTTTTTTTTTTTTTAAAAATACTATCTAAATTGGATGGTTAAATGTTTTTTTTTTTTTCTTCTTTGATTTTTGAGAATAAAAATTTCGAAAAGAAATGAAATTTAATATGTAAGAAGTAATGGAGGAGGAGGAGTATACAGAGAGAGAGAGAGAGAGGGAGAAAAAGGGAGAAAAAGGGAGAAAAAGAAGTATAAATATAAATAGATTCATATATATGACGACAAACAAACATTACGGATAGACATAACAGAATGTTAAATTTTTAAAAATGGGTGAAATAATTCTCGAAAGTAACATCAACATCTACATCAACAGCAGCATCAGCAGCAGCAGCAGCAGCAGCAGTAGTAGTAGTAGTAGCAACAACAGCAGTACTACTATACATACTGCCATCGAGAAGACATCAAATCTACTTGTGAGTGAGTGAATGGAAGATGGCAAAAGTACCGCTCACCCATTTGATATTGGAATAAATGATCAGTGGAACAAATAATGATCAATCGTCAATGAAAACTGCCAACTCCACCCTAATCGAACTTCTCTATACATTCCTCATTTTTCAATCTTTTTTTTTTTTTTTTTTTTTCATTAGGTATCATAGCATCTAATTTCTTTTTTTTTTTCTTTCATTTATCATCTATCACCTCATTATCATTATTATTATTATTATAAGCATTTTGTTTATCAATCATTCATCATTACTGCACAGCAAGAAAAACAATTTTAATTGTCACACAAACACACATACACATTATTAATTAACCTAACAACATTCATTGCTTATCCAAGAAGTTTTAATTAAAAAAAAAAAAAAAAAGAAAACATTCGCACAATTCAGCTGTCTTCTTACATCGATGAAATGTCATTTCCAAACGACATCTGAATATGAAAAGAATATTAAATTAAAATAAATAAATAAATAAGTAAATAAAAATTTCGAACATAACACCTCTTTCACTGCTTAAAGGAAATAAGAAAAATAGAAAGTTTCTATTACAAAGAAATTAAATATATGCATAACTTTTAAATGTTTTTTTTTGCGCTTTTCACAAAGAAATAAAAAGTTTTTTATAACATTGCTACTATCTTATCATCCTTAAAATGTTTAAATTTCTTCAATTAAAAAATTTAATACATTTTAACTATTGAAGAGGATCTTCTCCTTTTGTTTTCGATTTTAAAAGTTGAAACAATAATTGATAAAAAAGCAAATATAGAACGAATTTAAAAATAAACTATCCACAAAATTTACTTATAACATCTATTTTTAATTTAGGATTTCGAATTAAATATTTAATATATATAGCTTTACTAAATCAAATTACTATCGTCATTTAAAAAAAAAAAAAAAAAAAAACACAAAATAGTGATGAATAGAGCAAAAAGATAAAATCACATTTCGTGCCAATTAACAAATTCATCCATGCAATGCATAACATATCATTAACAATCTCACAAATTTTCATTTTCTAAAAAAATACCTCTCTCAGTTTTCCAATTCATCAAACTTTAAATTCGTTAATTCAAACTTAATGAAGGATAAAGTTTGTGCAATTTTCAGAAGAAAATTTTCGCAAAATACAAAAAATTAGAGTTTTTTTTTATTATTATTTTTTTTTTCTAATCATTCGAATTGTCAACCATCATCATTTTAGGGATTCAAATTACTGAATAACATCATGTCATTTAAAAAAATTTATATTAAAAAAAAAAAAAATATATATTTCTTGGATGCCGACTATTTTAATGAAAAAAGAATGAACTAATACTTTTGATCGTATTAGAAAACTTTTCCCTAATCGATTTACACATTTTTTTTAATATTGTAATTAGCAACTTTTTTAATTCATTTGTTTATTTCTTAATGAGACATAGAGCATCATACTTTCAACTAAAAATTTACTACTTTAAAAAAACAATATTAACTGTTATTTTCAATATAGCTAATATTACTTTCAAGTTTCTTCCATCTTTCCGTCTCATTTCATAAATCTTTATTCGAGTATCTTATTTCATTTCTATCTTCATTTAAATATGACATCTTTTTTTTTTTCATAAAGTTTTTTAAAATACATCTGGAAGGGATATGCATTAAAAAGCATTTGAAAAATGAGATGGGAAAATAATTTAATCGTTTTGCATTGACGGTAAGGATACCAGAATTAAATCAACAAACAGATAAATTTTTTTTTTTTTTTTTAACGCAGTTTCTGGATAATAAAATTCATGTTTCATTCCGATTTGACAAGAAAAGAGACGGAAATAGAAGAGTAGGATAAAATTTTATATACGTTTCATTTTTTCAGTTCAACTAAAAACAATAGAATGACTTATCATATTATATCAAAATATGAAATGATATTTAAATACAACAGAAAAATTACAAACATATTCGATTCATAGAGAGAGAGAGAGAGGAAAAAAAGTGGATGGTAAAAGATGGAATAAAATGGAAAAGTTTATCAGTTGTTAAAAAAAAAAAAAAAAAAAAAAAGGAAAAACTGGAACCGGAAATGATTGCTGATGGCTAGGATGAAGCATGATGTATTTACGATTTTATTAAGATGTCATCAAAAACTTAGAATAGAAGAATAGTTTGCTAGAAAAGGAAGAAGAAATGAAAATAATATAGGTAGATGTGACAAACAGAATTATTATTCGAAACCGGTTTCACATTTCAGTTCTACTCAATTCACCTATCTACTACTATACTGCACATAGATAAACAGTCATATCAGTGTCAAAGTGCGAAATTACCAACTGGACATCAAAGCTTTTTAAAAAAAAAAAACACAGGAAAAAAAAGCTATAAAATGAAAGAAATCAATAATACAGCACATTGGAAGTTTACTATTCAATATTTCGATTTTCATACAAAGGTAAATTTTCATCTTTTCATGCAAGAAAAGATGAAAAATAACGGGAAAAAAAAATCATTATTAGTGGAAATTGTTGAAATTCACGGAAATCTTTCAAAACTTCATTAAAAATTTACTAAAATCAAATAAGACTGAATTCACAAAAAACAAAATGTAGTAGATTCGGGGATTATTTTGGTCTACATTTAGATGTCGAAACATTTAAGCATTTGAGATAAAAGAATTTGTAACTATTTTAAATTATGAAAGTGAAACTTTGCAATTCATTAAAATAGAAATCAAAAAGTCTGCATATGAATCATATCATGTTAGAGATATTTCAAAAGAAAAAAAAAGAGAACTAAAAAATAATTGAAAAATTTTAGAAATGTCTTATACTGAAACAAATAAAGTAATTAAATGAGGTAATTAAGTTCCTAAAATCATTCTTGCAATATTGTTAGCATAAGTACAAATTATTTTTCACGAAATTTCGAGGAAAAAAAAGATTAAAATGAATTTCCTGAAATATTTTTACACATTGTATTTAAAGAAAAAATATGCCATACATTACAACCTCAACTTTTCCACTTTTTTTTTTCGCATAGTTTTTGCTTTCTCAAAAATATCTTCAAATTAAATTCAAATTTCTAATCAAATTTTAAATTTTAACCAAATTAATTCATTCATTTAGAACTTTATATTTTCCTATTATTTACTAATTAACACTAAACATTAATATTATTTGTGATATTACAAGCTATATCAGTATATGATAGAACAAAACTTTATGTGAATATATAAAAATAGCAAAGTTGGAATGAGAACATACCATGAATAATATGATTTTCATATATTGAAAGTTAGATTTTATAGCTAATAATTACTAATGCTGAGATTAGGAAAATAAAAATGAATTATTCTAGCATATTTCATTTGATCTCTGATATTTGTATGCAAATTTAGAAAAAATTTTATTTCTGTCCACTCTTACCTATTTACTAATATCATACCTTTTAATTTAACCATCAATTCCGAAATATATTTTTTTTGCTATTTTTAGATACTTAATGACAGTCCTCATTTTAACGACTATTTCATGTTTCACGATTGTTTCTCATCTTTCATCTCACTTCATTTTTTTCCCTCCATTCATTGGCTTCTGGTTTCTTCCATTTTCATTTTATCTCTCTCTCATCTCATTTCCAAATATTATCTCCCGAAAGACCTTGGCACAATTAAAGATGCAAATGAAGAAAAAAAAAAGTTTTTTTTTCCCTCTTATTCGTTGACTAATGTGAATAATCAGAAATTAATTGATATAACCGTTCCAGAATACTTAATGCATTTAATCATCAACAAATTACCACTAAAAACTTTTTATGAAACATGAAAACACTGGAGGAGGAGAAGTAGTTGAAGAAAAAGCAATCATTTTTAGCTTGCAATATGTTCACAAAAGAAGTTGTAACTCAATTTAGAATAATTGAAAATAGATGCTAACAAATTGGCATTATTAAACTTTAGAAAATAAAATTAAAAATCTTGTAATATTTTTTCATGGCTTTTTTTTCAAAAAAAAAAAAAAAAAAAATCTAAAATACAGGCTTACAAGTTAAAAAGTAGAAATAATTATTACGAATTGTATAATTTTGTTTCTGAAAATAATACACTACTAAAAAAGATATTGAATAGTCCTAATAGCATATATAATAATCTAATTTCTAACATAGAAAAAAATCAAATCAATTTTGCCTTTTCATTCATATAAACTTCTCCGTCAGATACTTTATCATTGAATTGAAACAATTTTCAGTTTGAATAATAGACAAAATTTTCTAATGCACCAATTTTTGATAAATTTTTGCTCATTAGCAAATTTTTAATTTAATTTCATTTATGGAACAGAAATAAATGAAAAATGAAAGATATCCAATTTATACATACAGCTACTCATATAAAATAAATGAATTGCAGAAAAAATTTCAATTACTTGAATTGAAAATGAGAACATCAATTTATACGTAAAGTATTTTTTCGAAAAGATTTGGAAAATGCATAAAAATTCCTAGAAGACTACAATTTGTTGAGAGAATAATTTATAATTTAAAAAAGAGAAATAAATTCAGATGTCGATCGAGTGAACAAATATAAAAATCACAGCTCCTTTTAATTTTTGAGAAATACGTAAAAATTCAAACGTTTCTATGCAATGAAATATTAAAACTAATTTAAGATTTAAACGAAAAAATTAAAATAATGCAAAATACAAAGGATTGATGCAATCTTCTTTATTAAGACAAAACTGAGCAGCAAATAATTCAAAATTTATATTATTTTTGACATTACTAAAATCCGATGTGTTAATAACGTTAAAGTTTTTTTCATTTAAGGAAATCAACCAACCTACCAAATTTGGTTTTAAATATTACCAGTTTAGAAAGTTTAATCAGATGATTTATGAATTCATATGTTATTCCTTGTTATCTAATATTAACTTCAACAACATAAAATATCACCAAAACTA